GTGTGTGTGTGTGTGTGTGTGTGTGTGTGTGTGTGTGTGTGTGTGTGTGTGTCTGTGTGTGTTAGATTTTCCCCACAACAGCCCCAATTCCACCCAGGTGAATCAAAGCAGTCTTTGACTCTTTGTCCAGACAACGAGAGCATTTGAGATGTCCAACATATTAAAGCAATTTTATAATTAGACAGTTTTTTGGTTGTCCTTGGGGTACCCCTTTCATTGTTCTTGCACCTCCCCTTTTACTGTGTGTGTGTGTCTGTGTGTGTGTGTGTGTGTGTGTGTGTGTGTGTGTGTGTGTGTGTGTGCGTGTTGGGGCAGTTTTACTACCATCCAGACTGCACAGTATGACTTACCCCACATGGTACCACCCAGTCCAGATGGTAACAACACCTGGCCCACATCGTAGAACCAAGTCCACATAATACCCCCCAGCCCATTTAGTACCACCTAGCTGTGCCAAGGACTGAGTTGTGCCTAATGTGGGCGGTGGTCTTTTTGTTTTTCTTTTCCGGAGCAGTGTTTTTCGCCCGACATGTTGCCACCAGTGCCCATCATTGCACCACATAGCCCACGTTGCATCACACACCTATCCCACATTTGTACTTCCCGTCCAGTGTACATAGTATTACCCGCTCCACAGTCACACGGCCCAGTCCACACGGTGCCACCCAATCCCCATAGTATTGCCCAGACCAAGAAGTACCATGGGCCACATTGTTTGTTCCAATGCGATACACACGCGCACCTGTTGACTCGTTATATTAACTCTACATCTCAACATGAAAATAAGAGAAGGAAAAGAACAGAAGAACAATGCCATTGTCTCATGGATTGAACTGTTGGTTCAAATATCTTCTTGTGCTTTCCTACTTGCCGATCTGACACTGAAACAGAGGGGCCAAACACAAGCCTAATATTCCAAAGGGCAAAAGGGACAAACTACTACAAGCAACAGCAGAGCACGAAGGTGTTCACCTGTGCACTAGAACATTAGCGCCACTTATCCATTTGGAAAAAGATCATGCACCCACTTACAAGCAATATCAGGAACTTTCACGGCTCCATATCCTTCTTCACCCTGGTGGCTGGCTGCCAGCACTTTCTTGGTCCGTGGGACGTGGGACGATCTCCATGCTGCCTCAACACTCAACACTCGCTTAATACTTGGGTACTTGGGGCAATCTTGAACCACATCTGACGTCTCGGCCTCAAGAGAAATTAAATAATTATTCACTGGAGCCATAGCGAAAGCAAGTTGTCCTAGGAGTATTGTTGCTGTCTATGGACCTGCGCCCAGGCGACCTAACCATGGCTAGAGCGAAGGTTGCGTAAAACTAAGCGAAGGACCAAACCAACCAATGCTGAAAAATAGTCAGATGAGCCGTGCTTAGTGGTGAAATGCCACCTTGAACCCTCAACTCAATCTCAGCACAATCCAGCATGGCCGATGTTAAAAAATCCGCACATGCGCTGTGGTTAGTGGTGAAATGTCACTTGACCGCTTACAGAGCAGCACTGTGACCATTTGAGCATTGTGCAGAGCGGCAAGCCCATTATGACCGCTCAGCACAATCACAGCACTGCGACCATTCCAGCACAGCTTTGACACTGTTCTACAGGGCTGTGCTGTCATGCACTGCATTGCTTGCATGAAGTCCCGGCGACATTCAAAGAACAGCACTCTAGTCCAGCAGCAGCAACAGAGAAGGGCCACAACGTGGGCAAGGCAGAGGAGTTGTTAACTAAACATTTACATAAACTAGAAAAGGGGCAAGTCCATTGATGTCACTTTCCAGTTCTGAATGCGCGAAAAGCACACACACCCGCAAATAAAACAGTCGCTAAGTTTGAAAAAGCGACAAAAGTACCGCGGCCGTGACAGAGGCACGGGTGTCATAACTACAGGGGTCTGCCGTGGTATCAGAAGAAGGAAAAAAAGGTCCAACGGATCTTTTTCTACCGAAATTGCTGTTTCAAACTTGCGCCGTGACATCTTTGCGGGCGCGTGTTTTTTTCTGCCTTAGCACACCCAAAAACTGCCGTGTCAGCGCTTGTTTCACTAATAAATAATCACACAAGAAAAGGGCAGAGTCATGTGCCACCCAGGAAGGCGCAATTATGGCAAATGACTCAGAGAATTCAGAGAAAGGAGTACATCGTAACTGACGATTTTGAAACAACGCTGACCATGCTAACCATGTCTTAACAATTCGGCCCACTTTTTTTTTTTTCTTGCTTTTAAAAAGGGCGCCAGTCTTGAGATATATCCACTGGTGACAGGCCCCAGGTAATTTGAGATTATTTTGGAAGTTATTGTAGGTTATGCATCATGATTATTGGTTATCCAGCTTCTGTTATGACAGGTATGTTGAGAGAGCATGCTGAGAGTTCAAGCATCTTGATGTACCATGAAATTGAGGGTCTCAACCCTGATAGGCATCACAATCGAACCATGAATGTCAACCATGATGATTCTGACTGAGAATTCAACCTGAGAATTCTTTTATTGGGAGTGTCCCGACCGGCCGCAGCAGGGCCTGAGCAACTACTTCCACCTGACTTGGCACTCAAGCATTGCCACGGGTTACAGGGCGGCACCACTCACCCCAGTGAGCTACCAACGTTGATTGGCCCTGGCCATCCTCCTCACTCTACCGATAGTGACAGCAACCCGATTAGAACCCAGCACTTACGCGGTGCCGCTCAGGCACGAAGCCTACTGAGCTACCCGATGGGACACTTCAGTTTTGGTTTAAACTTTAAACGTAGAAAAAATAAGCAATCAAAATCCTGCCACTTGCCCATAAATGAACCAAATGGGAAGATGTACCTTTATCCGTGGAGCGGGCAGAAGGAAGAAAGCAGAAAGAAAAAGTGGGCAAGCGGCATACATGCAATTAGAGGGACAGGGATCGCATGCAAGGGCATCCCTCTGTTATGTGCCTGATTGAAACGAGATACAGCATGGCATCCACATGTTCCCATACACATGCGCAACGACAAGAGATCTTGGATTCACACCACACCGGATGAGAGAATACACAGTGGAAGCACTTAAACGGTTAAACCCAAAATAAAATTGAAATTGCTCAATTCTCATTAATATCCCGCTCCCTCCAGCCAATCAATGCACTGTTATTTCCAAGAATCCCAACCACGTTATTAACATCCACAAACCAACTAAGAAGAGATTTTCAACAAGGGAGGCTTCTTCTTCCTCCCAACCTCAAGGTCACAGCTATGGCGCAGGCCTGCGCCCAACCTATCAAGCCCATCAAGCGCCACCAACCCTCCTGAACCCGCCACGCCACTCAGCAGTCCAAACTCGATGCCCAATGGAGATGAAGTGTCCGCTCAACAGGGCAGGGTAGCTCCCAGGACGAAGAAGAAGAACACCAGCGCTTAATGAAGAAGGAGATGGCTGCCACTTCGACAAACACTTGCAATGAGGGTTTCCTTGGCGACCCTGCCTATCCCCAACAGCACAGGTAAGAGGAGGCGCCTCACAGTGCTCAGGGCATGATGCCCAGTGCAGTCACAACACAAGCCAGGAAGCCCCAGCTATGGAGGACAGCCCTCACAGAATGAAGATGATGCCGCAAGTGAAATAACGCAGCACCCAAACAGCACGCGGCCTCCAGCAGGAAAAAATGACGAGACAGAACCCGCTTTTCCTTGCCCTCGACACTTTTGTAGACTGTTGTTTCCCTGACTCCACAGCCTACAGCCTGGAACGGCAGCCTATAGCCTAGGAGGACAGAAACGACCTGCAACTCAAGGGCAGAAAGGACAAAGCAGAGAGACCTAGTGGTATTCCTACAGAGACTACTCCAAACAGACCTAAGGATCAAGCCCAGTTGAGCTCTCACACAAAGAAAACACAGCAAACAAAACAGGTCACGGGATCGAATCCCGGAGAGTTCAAACACAGAACTCGTGGGAACGGACCGAGATTGCAGAGCAGAGGAGAATGGATGATGGATTCCAGGTGAGAAGACAAGTAAAGAGAAGGATGGGGACACACTCGAGTTGATGATGAGCCAGCCAGCACTGATGCTCGACAAGCCCCAGGATTTTATTTGATAACTACAAAAGACTGATGAGATAATTACATATCAGGTACTTTGTGGAAGTCACAACTTGGCGCCACACAAAACTAACATGGATATGAAATGGCTGCTAAAGCATCTAAACAGCTAAGGATGGTACCCAAGTAACCTAACCATCTGTTGTTACGACCTGAACTTGAATCACACCCTTGAGAGCAGTCGATACCCTGAGGAGATGAGGTGATTTGGTGCTAGGGTTCCTATTTTCCATGCATGGTTCAATGAGAGGATGAAACATGACATGATTTCACATTTTAGATTCATTTTCTATTATTTGTATGCCATAGAATGGTGTAAGCTAGTCCCCGTTGGAAGGAGGAAGAAGAAAGCAGAAGAAACCCAAATAGTTGCTCAGAATCCCAATCTTTATCTCCTACAGTTTTTTTGAAGTTTTTCCTTGTTGTGCTTTCTTAACACTTCAAAGTTCAAACCCTTTTTACTTTGCTGCCTTTCTAATTAGTTGATCGTGATTAACCACCTTATACACTGTAAGCTAAGTATCAACATATGTTTTGACATTCCTTCAAGCGTAACGGCAGGAAGCATGAGAGTGTAGATGATGTCCAGTTCATGAGTCGCCGGGGGAAAAGGAGCCGGACTGAGGCTCCCCAGCATGGATATGGAGCCAGGGCCATAATGAGAATTAAGGACCTGTTTTACAGGAAAGAAAAAAGAGGTTGAAGAGGATATCCCATTAGGATTGCTCAAAGAGATCATCACCTGGAGATCAGGCTAGAGGAATACCATCTTTTTCTATCATGTCAAAAAAGTGCATTCCCCTAACCGATCACCCAATCGTCCTGCTGCAGCAACTGTAGGACAAGTAGGTCAACACCCAACACCTACAGCATCCTCATCTAGGGCATATCCGGCCATAACTGTGACCAGATTTGGTCGATGAACGCCAAGTGTGAATATGGCCTTATGCACGAAGCTGAGGTTGTTTACACATAGGGTAAGGCCCTCCTACTTCTGCCTCTAAGCTCCATGGAGGAGCGACACTATTTGGAGGCTGAGCAAGAGGGAATGAAAACCCTTGGTGCAGGCAGAAGCAGAAGCTGCAGGAGGGAGAGGAAGACGAAGAAGAAGAACGAAGACGGAAGCACAATCCGCAAAACCCACCGGACGAGGAAGAGACACACATGCAAATGGATAATCTTAGACTGAAGATGTTGCCAAGGAAACTGTTTGACAAAACCCTGGAAGATTTCTCGGCTGCTAAATGGGGATGCTGGGATTTTGCATCAGAGCGTTTCAAATTGGGCTAGGCCCTAGCTGGGGCCGTACGACACGCAAGTACATGGTCTGAAGGGTTAGCGAGACAGGCCCAGACTCTGTTATCTCCAAAATCCTCCTTATTAAACTTATTTCTGATTTTTCCCTATGGAAACAAACTCAATGCTACCGCGCCTGCCTTTTTCCAGAACCGGGCTTCCCATCCCGCCCAGCCACCCCTGTTCCCTGTGATACCCTGTCCCGAGCCATGCCCTATCAGACGAACTGCGACCCAAGATGCTTCAACTTTTTCCCCTTCTCATGCCTTGTTGCAGCAAAAAATCCCTGCCTTGAACACACAGTCTGCCGATAGCGATCCACTCTTGCCTATCCCTTCGTCCCCTGCTGGCCGCCAAGCGCTGCTTTCTCGACTGCGCTCTGCCTAGTTTTCGTCTCTGGCACACTTAGTCTGTCTTCCACCATATCCTGACTGCGAACGCTGTCCATGCCTTATGCCCAGGGCCCACAAATCTACAGCTGTCATGTCACTTCTCCCTTCTCCTGCATTCCCTTACTGGACCTGCGCTCACTCACATGATCGCGATATTGCCTGCTTGATTTCTGGCACCCGATTTTGTTTTCCGTGCCCATGACAAGCACACGACTCTCACGCCTTACAGACCTTTCCTACCTCTCCTTCTTGCTTCCCGCTGTGGATTCTTTCAACGTTTTCTCTGATGAACCTTCCTACCCTTACCTTGTCTCGCACTTTCTGCTTTTTTCCCTCACCCCAATCCTTGCCCGATTGTAAGTGCCCTCCTACACTCTGGCTCAGATAGCTTCGTGAAGCCTATGCATGGGTTATCTGGGGTGGGAATTATGACGCCACCCCTCCCTAGGGTATGGCCGCTACTATGGCTTGCTTGCAATAGGAGAATCATCGAAGCAGTTCGAGTTTTTGGGTTCTATTCCATCATCAGCTATGATCCTCGACATCCATACTACTAGCGAACCATAAGCCCCCTGATGATGACCGATTGTGGAATCGGCCAAAACGTGGAGTAGCGACGTCTGCGACAGGATTCTCCTGTGTTCTCTCTGTTTATTTTTCGTGAAAGATGATCAAAGATCCCAATTTTGTGCTTCTCCTCGCTCCCATCCCTTTCTTCTTCTTCTTCTTCTTCTTCTTCTTCTTCTTCTTCTTCTTCTTCTTCTTCTTCTTCTTCTTCGTCTTCTTCTTCTTTCTTCCTCCTCCTCCTCCTTTCTCTTCTTCTTTTCTCTTCTCCCCTCTCTATCTAACTGTTACAACGAAGTCCATGATTGCTTCAGCGTTTCAGATTCTGTCACTTTGCGATTGGATATGTACAGGGTACTGCTATGTCTGTGCCCCTCTCTTCCGATCATGGATAATCTGCTCTCAACTTCCCAACTCTATAGCTGTGGTAAACTGCCATGATCAGTAGTATTTGCCAGTCAGAGAAAGATACAAAAGCCGAGGAAGGACACAACTGATGCTACGTGAGCAGTAACTGTCATCATCTGTAGTGCCGAGCAGTTGTGGAAAACCGGAGGGGAAAAGGATGCAGCAATCAAAATTAAAAATGCGAATGAATAATCTGCTGTAAATTGCGGAGCGTTGTGGGCAAGTCAATCGTCATAGATGTTGGAGGATCAATCCACTGGTTTTCTTTGGCATCCCAGTAGCGGGCAGGTCTGTGCATGTCCGAGGGCAAGTCAGCATAGTACGTGAGACCCATAAAAGAAGCCAGATCTTTGAAGTTGAAGTTACAGTTTGCGGGATCCATGTTCGGGTACGCAGGTTGAATGAACTCATGCACCACAGCATGCTTCCTGCAGTTTGAAGAAAAGAAAAAAAAAACACACAATTTTTTAAATGAGTAGGAATGCAATGTGAGCAGCCCATAGCAGGGGGGAAATGAGTGGGCAGGGGAGGGAACAAACTGCAACTAAGAACCTGGAAACATATCAACATTTATCTAGAATTACTATGACCTCAATTATTTTACATAGAGACAGAGTTTACATGAAACAATGTCAACGATCTGAAATCACACTGATAATTTCTTAAATTACGCGTGGCTCTAACCAGTTGACGAAAAGTGAAAAGAAGGGAAAAGCAATAAAGCAGCGCCAATAAGAGAAGAAATACGTTGTAAAACAACGAAACAAAGAAGCAGAAGACAGCAGAAGGAAAAGACCAACCAAAGGCCAAATGCACCAGCGCATGAAGATGCATGACATTTGAACCACCAATCCCTCCAAGCCTCTTTTTCTCGACCCCGATTGCTACTCCCTGCAAAGGGGAAAAAAAATGATTCAGGTGAAAAATGATTTCGTTTTGCCTGGCGATGCCAGCCATGTCGTTCCACTAGGCCGAGCCCCTGTGAACACGGCTGGTTAACTGTTCCGTCGGAACAAAATTGCTGGGAAAGCGAATCGTGGTTTAAAAGACAGAAAGGATTCCATGGGACTAATAAGCACAGTGATCCCCATAGAAAGGAAGAGCTGAAATCTGGAAAGGAAAGACCCAATTGTAAGGACCTGAAACGGTATTCACCAGTTCGAAGTAGCTGATGTAGGACCCAGGGTTCGATCCCTAGTTCCCCAACTTACCTGTGTACAATATCTGTGACAACTTGAAGAATTGAACCTGCGACCTGTAGAMCCGCCAGTGGTAAGTAGGTCTGTCGTAGGTCTTTAGGTAGCCAGGATTTGATCCATAGACCTGTAGAGTAGAAGTCCAGCTGCAGTCCTTCTAGAAGGTTGGCAAGTGGTCAAGTGGTGTGACGAAAGCAAACCCATGTTGGAGACGAGGACAAGTGGCAAGGGCAAATAGTAGGACCCCAGTGCAACTGCACTGCGTCGTAGGGTTGTCACTATGCAGTCATGGGAAAGTCTAGAAAGTACCAGTYCGGYCCAGYAAGTACCACGGGGGGGGACTGTGTGCATCATGGGCCAGGGATACAAGGCAGACCAATGCAACACAGAAGTATAAATCAAGAGGCTGCGTCCAGCCATTCATTCATTCCTGYGGAAGCTCTGCGGAAGCGCTGCTCGGGCGTCTTGTGCAAGGGAGGTCTGCAGATGGCCTGAAGACGAAGTGGGCAGAAGTTAGTGATAGGCTAGTTAGCTGTTAGTGGCCATGCGCCATAGCCATAGACAGTTAGTGAGT